TTCATTCACTCGAGGAAACGAAGTGTAGTGAAAAATTTTTTTTTTTTTTTAAATGGAAAAAGAGAAAGTCATCTACGGATTTCATAAAAATTTTGCGCTCGAGAATTATAAACAGATTCTATTAAGAGTTTGTGTACAACACCGTTCAAAAGTTATGGCGCAGCTTTTTTCAATTCGCTTCAAAATTGAAGGTAAAAATGAAAGGACGCGAAAGAAAACCTTTTGGAAACAAAACTGCATAAAATTGATAAATTCAACTTTGCTATTTCATCAATTGGAAAAATCATTCGCCATAAAATACCCGTAACAAAAATTTCTATAACCTTTTGTACAACATTTTATCCTCTGAAAAATATAAATATCAAAATTTAAAAAAAAAAAAAACTCGTGGCTATGCGACAATATAAACGTTTAAAACGCGCGTTCATAGATTCCTACACGTAGCGTAAAATTATGTTGAAAATTTTAATCAAGAGTTTCCCCCTGCATAAAGCTGTACACGATGTCTTAAAGCCGATTTATGAGAAGCTTTCGTAAGAGGCTTTATTAAAATGTACGTGGAAGGACGCGTACAAAACAGCATCGAAACGTTGAATGCTGGTATATCGTGACCAATATTTATATCGTAGCTTAAAAACTACGAAAATTGCTTCTTACGTATAAAAGTTTAATGAGGTTCGGTATTAAAGATTACTAGTCCAAAAATAAAAATCTTCTCTTTCGAGTAATCTCTGTTCTTAAAGCATAAGAGACGAGTTAATCATTATCGCATAAGCAAGAATTTGAATTATTTCCTTTCTTCATCCGCTTCGTTCTCAATATCGAAACGAATTGGAACGAAAAATTATAAATTAAAAAGTAGTTGAAATTCTTATCCGGCAACTAACCGCACGAACAGTAAGCGCTTTGTCGATACAGTTTCCCAAATGGTTGTTCACAGTCGCCGTCACACAAGTTAACTAGAATTTCAAGGGTTAGGGAGGAGAGGGGTGGTGGGCATCAAAGCCTGGGAATGGGTATGCGATAACTGAAATTTTCATCGGTTGAAAATTTCACGGTGTCGGGTTCCGACCTGTGTAGTCGTTAGAAAAAGCATGCACATGCCTGCGAAAACGTAGAATATTAGCGCGCGCGAATAATAACTGCGCGTTTAACCGCTCTTTAACGATATTGCCAAATAAAATTCACGGTGCTCAACTTTGTTTTTCGAACGTTTGTTTTTCGCTCTATTATTTCATACTACGCTTCTTTATTGCGTCTGAACAAGCTCTTGTCGATTGGCAGGATCTAGCGCGAGACTTGGGAGAATTAAACCGGATTAAAATTAGAAAAACTTTGAACCGCTGTAACTCTCAAGATAATGAATTTTTATCGACGAGTGAACAATCATTGGAAGCGTGGAACTTTCTTCTTTGAAATACTTTTTCGTTTATCTCGATACGACTCTCGGTTCTCGAGATATCGTCGTGCAAAGGAAAAATAATTTTTCGTCGTTTACCAGTTTCTTCCTTGTCGCCTCTCGCTCGCATTCTCGCTAACCTTTACCAAATTCTAGACACAATGGAAGACGCGAGGAAATAGGGTAGGTTCGCGGTTCATAATCTCCATAAGGAGTAAAACTTTGAATCCTTTTCAGTAACGGATCGAGACGATCAGAATCGAATCGAAAAGTCACTTCAATGGCATGGTTTCCATTATCTTCCGAAGTAGATTTTGATGAGAAAAATTTGCAATTTCTTTTCCACAATTGTGAGCAAAGTGACGAAGCGTATAATGATATATTATTTGTCATAAAAAAAAATATCGTATTTCTCAAAATTTAATAATAGATATGGATTTTAATTAAAATAAAGCCAATTTCACGAAGGCGTAGTTACCTTGTTAATTAGTTTTATCAACTGAATATGCGCACAATTCAGTTTTCGTTTGTTTTGTCGGTATAACTCATTTATCTTAAGATGGCTTTATTAAATTATATTATTATGACGAAGCTAGTACACCGATGTTGTCGGAAGTTGTACAACTTCGTATAAAACGATACACGATAATCTATTTTTGTCCCTGTTCCTTTGTACTCGCAAGAATAGACATTTCTTGTCTCGTTTTGTCTCGAATCGCTTAAATTTAAAAAGAAAAAAAAAAAATTGAAATTTTCTCGTTAAAAGAATCGAAACAAAAAAATATTTGTGCGCATACATCGAGATTACATTATATTGAAGAGATTATATTATATTGAAAAGATTACGCGTTTATTTTCTTTCTTTCTTTTCTTTTTTCTCTTTTTTTCTAAATAAGCGTTCCAATGTACGCCTTTGTCCCGCGCACACAGCCTGCTAACGAGTTTTCACTTTCTTTGGCGAAAGAAGTGTTTCACGGATTCTCTTTTTCTCGCCCTTTCGACCCACCGTATGGTAATGTTCAACTGCATGAATATGCATACAGAGCACTTAATCGTGTCGTGTCATTTAACTGCGAGACTGCAACTTTCCAAGTCCTTTCAGAATTTTTAATAACAGGCATTTCTAATTTTAGCGATAAGAATTTAAGGCTGTACCATCGGTTTTCGTCCTATATATCGGAATCTTTAATTTAAATTATCCATACACAATTGATTCCACACATTCCAACTGATGATTTTCAATTGTGTGCCATCGGATCCACGATGTAACAAATTTAAAAGAAATACTTTTTACGCAAGAATCTAAACATTCCATCGCGTCATTTATCCTTTCGTTGGTAAACAACTGCTATGCTTCGCTCAATTTACCTCCTACCCAAGTACACTCATAAATATTCCACCGAAGAGGGGGGTTGACAACTTTCCTTACCCCGACTAATTGTTAGTGTATATAACTTCTCCCGTCCCGTGAATCCTGTTATATCAACTTTGGAAATTCTGATGGATAGTATTCGGGCCAAGAATAATATCCGTAACGATGTTACCAATTAATTCGTCGTACGATAAATCGACGGAAAATCTTAGAATCCATTCTTCCGAATATTCGATACGAAGTATAATTTTTCGGATAATTTTTAGAAATTTCGATCGAGATAATTTCAATCAATTAAAATGTTTTTCCAACAGGATTTATGCATATTCCAAAGCTTTATCAACTTTTCTCGTAGGATGCTGTCGATCATTTCGAGCATCGGTGTGTGCACCTGTTACCTATATAATATTTAAAGGATTGAGGGGAAAGATGGGTCGAATATTTTACGTGGAAAAAATCCCAATGTCTCAATTTATTTCCCTCTCGATAAGATCGTAATTCCAACTTTCATTTGCTCTAGATCTAGCGCGCATCGTGTAATACCACTTACAGGTGTTGACGTGTCATTACGTTGGGCCACGATTACGTCGCTCAACTGTCCCTACAACAGATAATCGTCATTTGTCAAGATAAGTAAGTAGTTGCGGTCTGTCGTGTAATAGGGAGCCGTGGCATAAGCAGCCACGAGCATCTTGTTCTCTTCCCTTTCCTTATTGTGACGAGATTATACACACAGCACAGGAATATAGCTGCTGAATGGATAGCATAGGAGATATATCTGCAGGTGAAATCGATGATGATAAATAAGTTGGAGCAATGTCGAAGAGGAATATTTTCTTTTTCCTTTCTTTCGTTCTTTCTCTCTTTCTTTCTTTTTTCCTTTGTTCCTTAATTAAGTCGATCCGTTTTCTCGATGACTTTTTAAAACCTGCCCGCCCCTCTTCTTTGTTCCACGGGGAACAAAGAAGAGATTATAAGATTCTGAGGAAGCATAGCACCGAGCATTATATACTTCTCGCTCGCTGAATATTCGAATATTAATATAAAAGCTGGAAAATAATTGGAGAATTTTTTTTTTTTTTTTTACGATGCTATTCCGTATATAAAGTCGGAAAGAGTATTTCTCGCGACTTATAGCGACTCGGCCGACCGTGTTTGCACTCTAAGAGGGACAACTGGACTGGTGGTTTCGTGATTTTACTTTTCCCAGTAAAAATGAAAAATCTCTCGTTGCAAAAAAAAAAAAAAAAAAAAGAAACGATCCAGCAATCTTGTGTCCTTTGTGAGATTCGAGAAAGGATCCTTGTTCTCGCTCGTAAAAATTTGAAAGAAATATCTGGCCAAGAATTTTGACAAGATCAACCAACACTCGAACGATTTCAATCCGCCATATCCTATCCCAATATTAATTAAATTGGAACGGTTGTTCTATCCGGTTACACGAAATTTCTGGCTTCGAACATCGGGATCGAATACAGATCCCGATATCAGAAATGGAAACATTCCTAATTGGGAATGCGTTGAAATTGGAAAGTCTCGGTCGAAACGAGTTTCGAACGGGTTCTGCTAGAGTTTCGGCAAGGCCGAAATTTCTGATGTACCACCCCGTGTGAAAATCCGTGCGAGATTTGCCGAGCGAAAGTTTGGAACGCGTGGCGAATTTCCCGTCACGATCGCACGGTGACAAAATTATCCGCATATTTGGAAATTACTCGTTGTCGACGGAAGAAGAATAAGGTAGACGTATAATTGAAGCTTCTTTTTCTTTTTTTTTTTTTTTTTAGCTCGAAAATAAATAAATTTAAGGTTTAAAAATTCGTACCATTCGTGCGAAACTTGACTGATAATTATTGATCGAATGCATCGGTGAACAATGGGTAGAAAGTTATATGGAAAAAAAAAAAAGAAAGATAAATGTAAAATTAAATTTGTACAAAAAAATTTAATCAAAAAATTGTCCGGATACGCGGGATGAATTTGATTTCCTCGTGGAAACGAAATTTAAAATGAAAAAAAATTTTAACCATTTCTTCACTTCCATTTAATTTTTTCGCGCACGACTTTTCGTTTCTATCGATAAAAATTAACGAAAGAATCTCTTCTTCGCGAAAATTCCGTTCCCTTGATCAAGTATATACCCTTAATCAACTCTGACGAGAACAGTGAATGGATTTTGTTTCAAAAAAAAAAAAAAAAAAAGAGAGATGATCGCGCCATTTCTGTTTGCAGGACTGTTCGAGACGGACGGCGTGTTGATTCCCGGCACGATGTGCGACCTCGAGTTTGTCAGCTCGCAATCAAAACGGCAATACGGCCGCTTCTACTCGCCACGGTACCCGTCCTCCTACCCAAAGAACATCCGGTGCTCGTACCTCTTCCGGGCAAGGTAACTACTCTGACCCACTATCGAGCTTGCTGCAAACTGATCCCGACATAATCCACATATAATGCATCTTGAGGCCAATCTCCACTCCCGCCATATATCTAATGCCCCCGCGCATTTACCTAACCGTTCCTATCTGTAATCGAGATGCCAGTTAATTAACACCTGATCCGAACGTATCCTCTATCGACGCTTCGTCCACTGATTGATTAATCTAGCCTCGTTGTATTATCATTGTTGTTATTCTTATTATTATTAATTCAAGGGCTCAAAGATTAAAGAAAAGTTGGTCCAAATCGTTAATCGTTCGTTGGAAAATCGTACGCGTCGTGCGATGATCGTGCGAATTTATTTTCGCGTCACGATTCTTTCTTTGCGCATGCGCCTCGAGAAACGGGCACCGCAGAGACATCTTTCTCCCCCCTCCGAAATCGCGTCACTCACAAAATTCCAACGCGTATGGAACGCTCTCTGCAACACCTCTTTTAAAATCGCGTAAAGCGACAAGGAAAATAAGTGTCCACGGGCAGTTAACGTGGATATGTATCACGTATGCGCTTAAGTGTACTTCAGGAGCGGCGATAAATTCGGCGATAAACTCGATCGTACAGCGGATTCTAAATCTCACGGCGGATTCAAAATACAAATGACTGTCCTATATTATTTCAAAGATGATCAGTCTCAATTTTGTTATTCTTTCTTTTATTTCTGTTTTAATTTGTCACAACAACTTGTAACAATCTCTTCATTCGTATCTAATTACGTTAAATATTCTCGACATTCCCGAAATTATTTAATTATATTATAAGGTTTTTCATAAATTTCTTTCTTTCTTTTTTTTTTTTTATATGAAACGAATACACACAAATTCATCTCTCTTTATTTCGCTTACGGATTGGAATCGTTTATCACGGAGAGAATGATTTTTAATGACAGAAATACTTTATGGAACACCTTAATAGAATAGAAAAGTGAACATTCTCTCGAAACTGTGAAAAATAATTATTTTGAATTCGAGAGATGACGGAAAGATTACGATTCCTCTCGCAAAATGATATTTAGTTGAAACGTATCTCTATTACGCTTTGTCTCGCAAATTTTCCGGCTGCCGTAACTTTTCTCGTTTGTCATCTTCGCTCCTCGTTGCGTTTCGTGCCTGAAAGTTTACACCACGGTTGTGTCGCGGTTATTTTCTGTAAAGGGTGGACAGGATGAAAAGAAGTGTCAGAAACATTGGAGACGGCTGAATATTCTTGAACGCGGATCTATATGAAATATGACTTCGCGGCTATGGTTGAAGACAGACGTCGACAGATGTGCGACACTCGCCGATTGCCTCGCTCGAGAAAGAAGATACGAACGCTTGAAATTTTGTTTTCCAATTGGTTAAACCGGCGCGAAGAATAAGGCTTCGTTGTTGAAGATTAGAAAAATGGAATAAAGGACTTTTTTTTTTAATAACGGTAATTATTATTGGAATTTAAATTTTCGTCGAAGAACTTGGTAGTTTAAAAGTTTTCAAAGTTTTCTATCGATTTTTCGAGAAAAAAGAATAGACTTTGAATATTTTCATTTTTTTTTTTTAAATGTTTTGAAATCAATCTCGGCGAAGTAAAAGTTTTACAAGTGCAATTTTTCTGTTTTCAACAGTGGTAGAAAATAATTAGATTTCTTCTGGGATCCCTCCCTCCCCCTTCTGGCCCCTCAGACCCTTTTCCTTTAATTCGATTATATTCTATTAAGTTTGTCGGATACAGGTTTCCAAAAGCAATTATTTGTTTCTTTCAGAAGAAAGAAAGTTTTTCTCCAACATTTCATTTTACGCGAAAATTTCATTATCTCTCGTTATTTTCTTTTCATTTATCAATCTCAAAACTCGGTTTTATTTATCAACTCTGTACATTCTCCCCCTAGAATTTTTGCCCCTCCTAATCCCTCGTTTAATTAAATTATCGAATTCGATCCATTTAAAAAAATGTTTGCTTGAGAGAAACGTTTTGATTTGATTACAGGTTAAAGGAGAGGATACGTTTATTTTTCGAAGAAATTTCTTTACAAAAGGGAGACTTGAGGTAAGGCTTTCTTATATTTATTATATTTCAGACTTTTTATACATTCGTTCATTTTCGATATAGATCCGATAATATATTTTAACAAAAAAAAAAAAAAAAAAAAAAAAAAAAAAAAAAAAAAAAAAAAAAAAAAGAAAAAAACCAATTACATTTAATATCGTCGCGTTATTATTCCTTCGATAAACGAGTCAAGTAACTCGATTACAACTGAGATTATTCGCGATGGCGAAACGCAGTGCGAATTCAATTTGAAATTTCAGAAACGTGCAACGCTTGCGTAGTTGGCAAACCAAATAGTAAGGCATAGAATTTAATAATACTAATTTTATGAATGTAAAATTTCGACTCATAATTTTGTTTCCACGTATTTCATTATGTTTTATTTAACTTTCTCATATAAATCATGATTTTTTTGTTCCCGACCCGAAGTTATACCTTGAATCTCTCTACACCAAGAAAAAAAAAAAAATTCGTCCGAAAATATAAAAATTAAACACAGGAAGGCAAATAATAATATCTGCATCAAAATATCTATTGAAATTTAAAAACTATAAATGTTATTTATTTTATACATTCGAAAGTAGTGTACATTTGTAACGATATTTCCGGTTTCATAAACATTTTTTCAACATTTAACCTCTTCGTTTCATCAATCTTCGTGGATATTGATATCCACAGATATTTTTCAAAACCTGACAAAACAATATTTTTCTCTAACACAAATCGTATCACGAATTTATTTATTCTTTATTTTCGAATAATTAATTAACAAACCAATGCTCTCCAAATTAAACTAAAAAACGAATCGTGTCATCTCTATCCACATATCCGCCATCGTGAATTTTCCTTCGATAATAGTTTGAACAGGGTTTGTAAAAGCGAGAATGGCCGTCGGAATCGTACGAGCAACTTTGCCGCGTGTTATTGGACAAAGAAAATCGCTTTTGGGGTTTCGAAGTTTCGAAGATGTGTAAATGGAAAGGGAAAGGGACGACAAGTAAGAAGAGGAAGGAACTACGGACATGGCGGAGAAAGAGAGAGAGAGAGAGAGAGAGAGAGAGAGAGAGAGAGAGAGGATTAAAGTCGTGAATTGGTCAAGTGCGAGTCGAAGTCGCGTTAACTGTTAACCCTTGCTGTATCTACTCGAGCATCGATGATTCATAACCACGAGAGAAAACTGAACTGTGTAAATGCGATCGTCGAAAGACACGTTTAACACACGAATTGTACGGAAAATCGATCCTCGTATTACGCAATTTCTTTGAAATTAATTCATCGATGTTTCGAAAAATGAAAATTTCTGGATCGAATCAGTATAGAACTTACTTGTTCTTTGCTCGTGATTCGATCGTTAAAAAATTTTTTGAAGAAAAGAAGAAATCCTGTCCACGCGATAGGTTATTCATTTTCGATCTTTTTTTTTTTTCTCTTCGAAAAAAGTATAAATTACAAAAGTTCAACGACGATCAATTTTCGAACAAATATGGATATTTCAATTTTTCGCGAATAATTCGATGAACGTTTACGAAATTATTACAGGTCGAATGTCAAAACTTTACTTTCCCCCAAAACCGTGAAATCACATTTCCAATAATCCGGATTTTACACGCTTGATTCCCGCTTTGTTATGCCACGCGATACGAATTCTCGATCGAGCCGTAATTCCGTAATTCAAAGGTTGAAAGATGGAAAAAGAAACGCGACAGATTATCTCTAACCTCGACGATTTTATTAATTTAACGCGAACTGTAATAATAATAATAATAATATTCACCGAAAAACATTCCGTTCCGCGTTGCCGCTCGGTTAAAAATCTGATAAATTTTAAAAAACGCCTGCCCACGAGAGAGAGCCACGCTCCCGTGCGTCTCCCCTCTACTCTACAATGCTTCCACCACGCGCAGCTAATTGTGAGTTACGACGCCTGTCGGTTATTAACGTTTACGAGTTAACGAGGCGCGATAACGGCCGAGGCGCAAGAATCGGCCAACGTTCCGCCCAAACTTTTCTATTTAAAAGTTTGGCAACATTGTATTCCGCTCGTAGCTCGATGGTATGTCAAACTTCGTAAAGGAGGGAGGGGAACTCTGGACGGATTAAACACGCAATGAAGAGATTTGCGTGCGCCCGATAAACTTCCCTTGGATAGTATTATTTTAGTAAAATTTTTTTCTCCTCCTCCTTCTCCTCCCCTCGCCTTCGTTCGATCGTTTGTTCAAACTTTAATAGGATATGAACAAGGTAACGGTAGAAAGTAAAGTTTTTTTCGCACGATACATCACGATACGCGCATCGTCGCGGATCAGGCGTTACGAAGTACAACTCCACTCAATTATTCTTTCCTCTCTTCTTCTTTTCGAGAAATGGAAGGCTAATCTTTGAATAGTTCAAATAGAAGCGTTTTCATTACGTGTTTCGTTACGTTCTATAGGATTGAAAGATAGAGGAAATATTTTTATTAATATTAAGATAGAGGACTCGCCTTGTTCGTGATCGATTGTCGATAGTTTTTGAATTACTATTTCGATTCTTAAGTAGAATCTTATCTGGAGAGAGGAAGGAGGGGGGGAAGTCGAGGATCGATGAGAAAATTTGTTTTATGAAGAAGAAGTAATTATAATAATAAAAAAAAAAAAAAAAAATCGATGAACATTTCGAATAATTGAAATTGAGAGGTAAAGAAACGTGTTCAATCGTATCCCGTTTTTTCTCCCTCGATAAGCAGATTTTCCCTCTCCCCGTATTTGCATATCGAATTGAGGGACTACGAAATAATTCGTCGTGTAAATCCGCATCAGAGAGATGTGCTTTGTTGCAGAAACGTGGCGTCTAACGTGAATGCAACAGCCCGCAACATTACATCTTTATCGATCGATAATATCGAGCCCATCATTCTTCCAAAGAAGCTTATTGCGAATTCTCGCGGGAGAAAATGATTTTAAAATTTTCATTGTTCATTAATTTTAATGCATCACGATCGCGTGACGTTGCGAGCCGATAGAAAAGAACGATCGAACGGTTGAACAAAAAAAAGAAAAAAAAAAAAGAAATCCATCCAACGTTCATCGACGCCCTATTTCTTTCCTAAGGGGATTTAAAAGTAGCGGTGAAAAAAAAAAAAACAAGAAAAAAAGAGACGTAAAGAATTTTTAAACACGATGCTTGAACCATTACTCGTTATTAACCTTGCCACAATAGGCAATTGAAGCAACGGAAAGCAACGGAACGGCTCTTCAAGCGGGAACATTCTTCTCCTCTTTTCTTTTTTTTTTCTTTTTCTTTTTTTTAAATCCTGTAGCACCGACTACACCTTACTCCTAAATCCTTTGAGCGTGGCACGGACCATGATTCTACTTAACCCACATAAACTTCCTCTCTGCTCCGAAGACTTAGAGCTGGAAATGGCGATGGTGGTGGGGATTCGACTTGGGAAACGAGAGGTGCTCGGCAGACTTGCAGCTGTACCGTGCAGGAGTTAATCCTTGATAAATCCTCGAATTTCGCCCTAATTCAGTATTGAGCCACCTTAATTTCATTTTGTCATTGACCTCTGAACTTTTTGAATCCTTCCATTCCAATCATACTTTTCTTTATATAGCCCTGGTAAAGAAGCGTTATTTCATAACGATAAGAAAATATATATATATCTAGTAAATTTTTTCTTGGAATACATTTGTATATCTTTCTAATATAATAATATATATATAATACATATATATAATATATATTTACTCGCTTGTACATTTAATAAAATAGATAGGCGTACATATCTAGTTGGAGAAAGTTAAAGAAAGTCATTCACACCCATGAATATTACGAGTTTATATATTCACTGTCTAGTTCTCCGTTCGACCGCCAGGGTTCGTAAGTCGCAACAAGTGCCCGATTGATGGCGATCTGCGCGAAAAGCTTTTAACTTTTCCTGTCCATCTGCCATTCCGAAACTTTCTTCCAATCCGGATGCGCCTGATTCATTCCACGTTTTAAACGGTAGAAAAGATAGAAAATTCCCATAATTTCCACGGAATTACAAACTTTTATCGCGTTGTGTCGCGATAAATTTTAAAAACTGCAATTATTAAAATTCACTTCTGGACTGGATTTTATCCCCTATAGGAATATATTCCGCGACGAAGAGATAAATTGTTTTCGAATTCTTTCCTCCCCTTCTCGGCAAGTTCACTCGCCGTAAAAAACGCGTTCGACAACGCGTTTTATGCGAACGCGTTTCGCCTCTTTTTTTCGCTTATATCGGCGAACGCGTTGAAACATATCGATTCAAGCTGCAGCTTACAAAAACCGTGTAATTACCGCCGCAAGAGGAGGAGGAAATTTGTGACTCTCAAATATTAGCTCGCGACGAGGCGCATATTTTCTCCATAATGTTTCGCGACAGTCCTAATACTCCCGCGTTTACGAGGTTTCATATAAATGCTCAGAATAAACATTGGCCAACAAAGGATAATTGATTTCGGCTCTCGTTGAATCGATTAACCTCCCCCCCCCCCTCCCCGTTTTTCTACCGGAACAACTGCATTATTTGCTTTCCCCGCGCGCAAAGTCCAGTTTTCACGCAATTTTAATATCACCTGTATCGAACCAATTGGCAAATTGCACGATTGTGTTTTCTTTCTCCCCGTGTTTTTCGCTTGTTTTTACTAAACAACGCCTATATTTCCCTTCGATAATAGTTTAAATTCTTATATCCTTTCATCCTCGCAACGCATTCTCCTATCATCCCTTCCTTTCGAGAGAATAAAAATCGACGTGGCGATTATTAACCAACTATCCGTGTAATCAAAAGTTTCGAAACATCTTGCGTCAGATGTTAAAAAGTTGGAGAGAAACGATTTGTTTAACGTCGTTTAAAGTCGAACAATTCAAACCTTTAACAAAATGGACGACTTAACGAAACGGGGAAACGCTGGTTACATTCCAGATATTAATTGATCTCGATAATTTTTCTTTTTTAGTTTATCTTTTTTCTTTTTTTTTTTTCGCGGGATAAAAATCGGTAAAAGCGTGGAAGATCCTCGAGAAATGTTTCGATATATCAAGCGTTAAGCCGCACTGTCAGACGCACTCGGATATTATCCTGGAATGGAGCTGATGGATATTAGGAGGCTCCTTCTCCGTCAACCACTTGATACCACCCATAATATCTGAACGTGAAAAATACACATGGGAGATATCGCGTCTTTTATTGACGTTACACATTTCGTTTTCGTTTTTCGGAGATACAAATGGATCGATGGGAATAAATCAGAGCAGTCTCATCTTTTCTTTCTTTTTTCTTTTTTTCCCCCCCTTTTTCTCGTCTCCTTTTTCCTTTTCCTTTCCCGACCTCGTCATTACGATCGTCCTCATCATTTTCTTAATTTAGAGCTTGCCTTCCCTTTCTCGAAAATTTCCGCCTCCTTCCATGCGAGCCTCGATCCATACACGGTAAAAAAAGTAGGCATCCGTGCAATTTTAACGCGGCTGATGGCGTTAGAGATACCCGGTCACTAAGAATGCCCGCATTTCCTTGCTGTGTGTGTGTGTATATATATATATATATATATATATATACCAAGATTGTGCGCCATCGTTGAATATTATCAACGTAAATAAAAAACTCTGGAATCTTCGTACCAGTTTTCGTCAATGTATGTATTTATTTGAATCCGTTTCGAAACCTTGGAAGATGGAAGAATTTATTAAGAAATAATATTTTATCTAGATAGAATAGTCCCTTTGGAAAAACGTATCTTTTATATTCGATTTTTAGGAAGAATTTTCGGTATCAATCGTTATTTAATGCGGTTATTATTTAAGGATGAATAAATAAATAGATTTTCAATAACGAAAATCTTCCTCTTTTTAATCTTCCTCCTCCTCGTTAAAATAATCAAAACGAGAGGATTCGTTTAAATTTGATACTTGTTAACATGGAGAAAATTTTCGACATTGTAATTAAGATTAAAGTTACGCAACAAAGATTAAAACAACACTTTGAATTTTGAAACCTCAGATCTGTTGACATTTTATTCGATTAACATAAATTAACATAATGCAGCGTAAGCTCTGAACGACAACCATCTACAACGTAGATTCTAAATGGAGTATGTCTAATAGACTTGGAAAATCTCTTTGACATCGTGCAGGATAATGGATCAATCCTCAAAAATCCTCGTAAACTTTCTCGATTCCACTGATTGATAAATCGATATTGCAATTATTATTATCATCGTTTCATCCAAAAACCTTAAATTGTTTCATCAAATTATTATATAATCGCAAGCAAGAGAAAGATAAACTTTCTTTTCTCGATACATCGCTTTAAACAAGAGAGCACCGTTGGCGAAATTTATCCATTTGTCCTTGGCTCACTTTCCAAGATCTTCTTAATGAGATCTTATCCGCTGTACGTGTACAACAAGTTGGATGAAATTTTACCCGTGTCTGAAGAATTACTTCTCTCCGGAAAAGAAAAGAAAAGAAAAAAAAAAAAAAAAAAAAAAAAAAAAAAAAAGAAGCAAAACCGATGACAATCAATACCATCCGCGAAAAAACTTTTTCACTTCTCCTGTCGCATTACATTCGTATTTATTTAACCTTAACTCAGTAGATAAAAAGGGAGAATTTGGAACGTTCTTCGATCTAACGGTTCCTCGAACGACAATCCTTCTTCCCAAGTGTAATTGCTTAACCCGTGCATGTAATAGTAAGGTCATGCCTCGGCCATCATCGATCAACCCCTTAAAATCGATCGAATCCGCTTCGAGGATCCAACTCGATTACCGACCGAGCTGTAATTCTCTTCCATTCGATTAGACAAAGTAGCTCGCGTGTACCTATAAAGGTCGAATCGTCGACTATTGATGGAACTCTCTCTCTCTCTCTCTCCCTCCCTCCTATTTCTTTCTCCTTCCTAGTTTCCGTCACGTTTCTCCAGCTGCCTACGCCAGCGCAGCGTTACGACCGCTTTGTCATCGTGTTCTCGCAGTTTCGCTCTTTAACTCCTCTCTTCCCCTATATGTATAAAAAACTCTCGACTCCGTCCCCCTCTCTCCGTCGCGTGGTCCGCGCCACCATTTGGCCCACCGTTGCTCGCTCGGCTCAGCTATCTTTTTTTTCCCTTCTTTTTTTCTCTCTTTCTTTCCTTCTTTCTCGCGAAATCTTGCAACGAGGCGAGTCAACTCGAAGGTAAATTATCTCACCTCCGCCGAGAGGCAGACCTTGAGGAACGAAGAGTACCGCGAGTATTTCATGGAGAGGAATCGACTATGGAGTTTCTTCCCTAAGTTGCGTGCCGACACCGCGATAAATTAAGAGGATTCTTTTTCTTTCTCTTTTTTTTCTTTTTTTTTTCTTGTGAGCGTTTCAATTCTCAAGGAGCAAGGGAGAACACTTAACTGTTCGTTACACGAGTATTTATTAGGTAAGGTTTACGGATTCGAAAACTTTGATAAGATTTTTTATTATGTATTCTTCTTCTTCTTCTTCTTCTTCTTCTTCTTCTTCTTGGTTTATTTTGTTTTTCTTATTATAGAATATTTTTAAATTTTCTCTCGTGTTTTTTGTTAAGATTTCAAGAATTCAAGCAATAAAAACTGTAAATACGAAAGAAGGTTTCTTTCATTTTTGACGAGGAAAATTCAGGTCACAAAGGGTTAACGATCCTTCCGTTGCCCGATACTTCCAACTTTATTGACCTATACATTTCTGCACGGTTGTTTTTTTTTCTTTATTTTTTTTTTTTTTTTTTTTTTTTTACGTTGCCGAGAAACTTCGATTTATTACGTTTATTTCTTAATAAAAGTAACGAGTTAAAACGTAATTTGATCATAGCGGGTTTTATTTTACTTTATAAAAAAAAAAAAAAATGGAATTTAAAAAAAATGGTGAACGATAGAACCAGTGAAACCGTATCTCGAAATTAAAAACCTGCTATTCCCCCTGAACTGAAAAGTTATTTTCATAGGTCTCTCAAAGTCTCTCAAAAAATGAATTTATATATATATATATTGCAGATAAAGAAGAAATTTCGATCAATTTAAAAGAAAAGAAAAAAAGATAGAAACAATTACTTTATCCTAAAGAAAATTCGCTCAAGACACGACGATCTCGAATTGTTCGAGATATATGAGAAACTCATCGCGTATCAGGCGTAAGACAGGCATCGTGGTTCGGTTGAGGATAGGAATCTCTCAACTTCCGGTTCGCTTATTCCGCGGCGTAGAGGGAAACATACCTATAAGTTGTCGTTAACGAAAGGTATCCTGTTACAGTTGCCTGAATAGAGCGGATTTAATCAGAGTGCACGACGGTACGGATTCAGGGGCGGCCACAATAGCTATGCTGTGCAACCAAGGAGCGGAAGTGGAAGTGCTCAGCACAGGGTCGGACCTGTACGTCGAGTTCGTCGCTAATTCCGAGTGGCCGGGCCAGGGTTTCAAGGCGATGTTCCAATTCCAGCCATTCGACGATGCACCGCATCCTGGTGGGTAAACGAACGAACACCCGTTCCCGATATCGTGAAAGTCCGCCGTTACTCCCCCCTCTCCTCTCTCCCCTCTCTCCAAGCTCGAATAACGAGAACGAAATCTCAAGGAGGTGTGTCGAAAATGTACAATGGCGGAATCGCGGTCACCGCTCTTCTTAACCAGAAATTTATCATTTTTCATCCCTCGACTTCATCCCTCGGGGTTTAATCGAGCATCGGTTTACTCGCGTTTAAATTCCCGATCGTGTCCTCCACCTGTCGTCCAGGATTATTCGAGAAAGTTTCTCCAAAGTAATATCAAGTATGCTCGCGGTTTGATAAATGGTTAGAGTGATAAATAGTGGGAACCTCCTCTCTCGTCGATCAAGAAGAAAGAATATATAGTTATTTTGAATTGCGTTAAGTTGCACAAGTTTGTTATTCCATTTCTCTGGAACGATATCGAAGGTGTTAATTCTAATTCTTCTTGTTCTTTATAAATTTTCTTTCCAATAATTTATGATTTATATTCTCTTTCGTTTTAACGTAATTATTAAACGAGCGTTCTTCTTTGTTCCTAAAAAAAAAAAAAAAAAAAAGGTAAATTGTTAAACAACTGTCTTTACACGCTCTGCACGCTCCGTTGTCGGTAGCGTAGATTCGCAAGTTCGACGTCGTTTCGTAAGTTTTCGACGTAAGAGAACGCGGAGAAGTTCCGAAAGCGCCTCTAGGCAGAGCTCGCGCGAAGCTTTCCAAGTTGGCAAACGCGCTGTCGGTAAAACAGAACTCGAAGCTTTCCAACATACCGTAAAACCGTAATAGGTTCGGATCGATTCCTCCGGTTTTTCCACTTATCCACGCGATCGTTGTCACCCCCTTTGGATAATTTCCATAAGCTCGCTGTAACGAAACGAGTCGTTCGTACCAACGAAGCACGAACGTGTTATCGCGCGCTACGGCACGAATTTGCATTAATTCGTTATTACGCGGCCGATAACATTTGTATCCCTTGTTGATTCAGTCTCCTTAAGCGTTTCTGGCCGTGTTAATCAAATTGATTAACGATCTCTCGACATCGATGCCTTTCTCTCTCTCCTTCTTTTGCTCTCAACTTTGTTGAAAAACGAATCTTTCTTATTTCATCAAAATACGAACGAAAAAGAACGCTCGAACGAAATTGGCGATAGAAGTAAAGATGATCCGCGTGGTTGATTATTTATGAGGTAATAAATCACGAATGGGGACCGTTTGCTAAGGTAGATTGGCCATGTTCCATTCGCATACGCGACTCCCAACTGTAATTAACGGCACTGTATATTCCGAGGATAATTACAATAATGTATTTCAGAGCCGGACAAGGTCGTCCCAGGGGCCGTTACCGGTAACCCCAAGTACTCGGTCATCGGACCGGCTGTCAGCGCTACCAGTAAGTATATCACTCTCTGTCCTCGATTTATTATCTCTCTCAATCAATAATTTTACGTCTATCCCATTATCGCTCTATAAGCTCTACAGTTTTTTCTTCCAAGTGATCTGATCAAGGGAATACGGCAGAGAGAGAGCGAGACAAACGATCTAAAGTTTTAACGGTCCAAAAATTAATTTTTTTGGAAAATTTGGACATTTATTTTTATATTTGTTTTCATACATGGTAAATCATATCGTTGAGAGGGAATTAATTATTTTTTTGACGAGTTATGTTAAATGTTACCTTGATGTAGACTGTTATATGTATAATAGTAAATTTTACTTTGCGAATTTGAAGGAATAAATTGTACTCTATTGGATTCGTTTAATATATTACGTTTTTACGTAAAATACTTTTGCACTTAATCGTTGTTGTTAAAAAAAATAAGGTAAGTGTAATATAAATATAGATCGTGTTATTTATTGTCATAAGTTAGCCGATGTAGCTAGCGCAATAAATAAATTAGAAACTTTATTTTAGTTAACGTAATTCTTGCGCCCTTAAAACTACATGGCCTTTGAATTCAAAGTTGCTTTATATCTTTCGCCATCTGTGTGTTAGACACCGAAAGTTTTAATAGTGGAAATCTAGAAAGCAGTTCAGCAGAAAATCAGCTATCACCGAGAGAAATGTGTCTTGTAAAGTTAAATGATCCAGAACATTCTACCAATTCAAAATTTCTCTCGCTCGCGGAATAGCGATACAATTAAATCTATAAAAATATCTATAACGACTATTATATCAATCGTTAATCGTCCATACTCGAATCCGAACATATATTTTCGTAGAATGTACGAAAATTCAAACTTATATAATCATTCCTTATAATAATTCGATTAATCGTATAAATAAAAAACGAAAGAAAGTCCCAATTAAATTATCTAATTTCAAGATATATTCGATACGTTTCGAAAATATTAATTTACCTCGCTCTCGAATCGATTGACGAACAATATCGCATCTCGTACAATTCAATTTATTATCCGAAATCAAATAGATGGAAAAGAATCGAAAACTCGAACGATCTACGTAAAAAAAAAAAAAAAAAAAAAAAAAAAAATTCCTTTTCGTTCTTAATAAGAACCGAAGCTTTCACGATGTACTCCACCGTGTCGTCTGTGTTGTCGAATTACTTCCATGTCTCGAACAATACGATCGATGCGATTCGATATGAATTCCTCTACTGAAGTCGTTCGAATATATATATATATATATATAACTTCGCTAAGGCGAGTTGCATAAACTTTGCGAGCGATACTTTCAGAGTCATCAGCCGCGCGTCCTGAAAGCTCGAAGAAGGACGAACTTTATATCTTTTTCACGAGAACTCGTTCCCCCGGCTTATGAGCCCAAGCACTAAACTAAATTATTCGGTTGACAAGTACAAGGTGATCCGGCCTTTGTACACGGGTTCAACCCCTCACTTTGACGTTTTCGCATCGATATTCGCGCATACCGCCCGATATTTCCTTTCTAGGCGAGCGTCACAGTTCGATGCTTGTTTTGTCTCGTTTCCTCGAGCGAACGAAAGATAAAGAAAAACGAGAGGAGGGGGGGGGGCGAGCTACGAATGTTTTCAACATTCTTCTCTTCATTGAATTTTTCGAAAGTATGCGTAACGGCATTAAAAAATCGAAAGGATAAACTAAGTTATAAAAATTTTTCGAATAATAAGTTACTAATAACATTTTCGATTATTATCATCGTTTCAAACAACTTCAACTTTATTAAATTTTATCCTCATCATTGTCGACAGAATCATTCTGGTATATATATTTTTTTCATCTCAGAGCACTATTTTTGAAAACGATACTACTTCGAAATTTTAACTTACCGATCATTCTCTACGCCCGCTTGTCCGATTGAATTTTAATTTTAACTCGACATCTTAATCGAGTCGCAAGTTGGAAACATCCGCGTTGTACATTCCATACATCGCATCGTATCGGAATGGCCGACAATTACCAAACTTGGCCGGTCCTTTAATTGATCTCAATTAATCCAGGCGGGCAAATAATTCCAATATTCGGTCTGGCTTAACTTTAATCTCAATTTCTATACCCCCGCTCTCTCCCTCCTTGTCCCAAAGGGGTATGGCATCGGTGTTTATACTATTGCAAATCTATCCCCCGCGATACGAGGGGGAGCAGCGATACAGCAGCGCAAAGTCTCTCGGTCGGTAGTAGTCGGTCGAGTGGTAACACCTTTATCAGTGCAACAGTATCCAGAAGCGCGCTAGGGACTTTAGATCGGCACAAGTTTCGCTACCTGTGGGAAGCCCGCGTTCCCATAAACCGCCCTTCTTGCCGACGACCCCCTTTCCTCCAACCCTCTTCCAACGACACTTAGGTTTAAACCGTAAAACAAGATACGTACGTGATACGTATCCTCTTATGCATCTACTTTCGTATGCTGTACACCGTGCGGTAAGTGCTCTAAATTATCCGACCACCTGCAACCCAGCTGGATGCAGCTGGAAGAACTCGTAGGCGGCGAATTTTCTCTCTTTTTTCTTCTTCCGATGAAAATTTGTATCGTATTGCGGAAAGGGAGAATTGCGTGAGAAATCGGGAGAAATTGGTAATCCGTTAGAACGGAATGCGTGTCGAGTTAGATTAAATTAGGTTAGGTTAAGTTAGGTTAGATTAGATTAGGTTAGGTTGGATTAGATTAGATTAAGTTAGCTTAGATTAAGTTGGGTTAGGTTAGGTTGGGTTAGATTAGGTTAGGCTGAGTTAGGTTAGATTAGGTTAAGTTAAGTTGGATTAGATTAGATTAAGTTAGCTTAGCTTAGATTGGGTTAGGTTAGGTTAGGTTAGATTAGGTCAGGTTGGATTAGATTAAGTTAAGTTAGATTAGATTAGGTTAGATTAGGTTAAGTTAGGTTAGATTAGGTTAAGTTGGATTAGATTAGGTTAAATTAGGTTAGGTTAGGTTAGATTAGGTTGGATTACGTTAGGTTAGGTTAACTTATGTTAGTTATGTTAAGTTGTGTTAGATTGGGTTAGGTTAAGTTGGATTAGGTTGGGTTAGATGAGGTTAGGTTAGGTTAGGTTAGGTTACGTTAGATTAGGTTGGATTACGTTAAGTTAGATTAGGTTAGGTTAGGTTAGGTTACGTTAGATTAGGTTGGATTACGTTAGGTTAGGTTAGGTTAGGTTAGATTAGGTTGGATTACGTTAGGTTAGATTAGGTTAGGTTAGGTTAAATTGTGTTAGGTTAAGTTAAGTTCTATTAGATTGGGTTAGATGAGGTTAGGTTAGGTTAGGTTAGGTTAGGTTTTCTTTGAATTTTTTTTAACTGTGTTATCGTGTTAACTATGATCTGGTTGACGAGAAATATCCTATGATTCGGACGACGAAATTGGTCTCGGAAGAAATCGTAGATATGAAAGATCAGCGAGGTCTTGAATTTCTTCTTTGCCTTTCTTCCGTTTCTGTTATGGCGCACGATCGCTTCGAAAGGGTTTCCGGAGGCAAACTTGGGAGCATTTTATAAATTGAAAAGGAAAGAGGGATGTTTGAGAAATATCGGTCGCCTTTCATTTTTTTTTTCTTTTTTTGTTATAACTATCGCGTAGAGACGATAGATCGGAATCGAATTCGATCGACATTCATAATTGGAATAATTGGAAGAATTTTCGTTTCGAAGTGTGTTCTGTATATTGTTATAAGACGAGAGAAGGTGTAATTCATTTGTGAAAATTTTTGTGCAACGATTCGAACGAGAAGATGACAGATTATGATGGCAGAAATCGGTTTCCTGCGTGAGTTTTCATACTTTTTTAAAAATTCTCTAGTCGTAAAAAAAATAAAAGAGAAGTTAAATATACGTGTTCAAGCATATTCAGAGCAATATTCGAAGAATTGAACAACGAATTTCTTCGATATTTGAACTATTCTTATACCTGCTCGGAGAGAAAATATTTTTTCGAATACTTTCTAAGCAATATTCGTAACGCACAATATTCAACAAAGATATAACAAGAGCGAGAAACGAAGAAAACCGGATACACCCCTGTGATGGAAAAGCGGAGCAAATTAGAATGTATAATAAGACGAAAGAATACGTTTAACGTTTAAAAGTTAACTCTAATTACCATTTAAACGCACGAGGTGCTGGAAACTTTTTAATCCTCCCTTAAAAATTTCAACAAGAATTAAAAGACATATATATATATATATATAAAAGAAAAATTCAACTCTCCAAGCGTCTATTCGTCCCTATATATCATCCCTATATCATCACGAGATGCACAACGATAAACCCTCCCCTTAAATAATATATCTCGAATCTAAATTCATTTTACGAGAGAGATAAATTCACGGGCCTTATGTTAACATCGATTTCCTTCGTTCACACCACCAAGGAAAACTACTTCCATCCACGGAAGAAAAAAACCACGGAAGAAAAATTGGAAACGCTTAACGCCGCTCTTATAAATTTCACAAATCATCGTATTCCTTTCGAATCGAATCTTCTCGTCTCTCCACCAACCCCGATTCTTTCGATTGCCTTTTAACCCGCCCCCCTCCGCGACTAAAGTAATTACCAACAAAATTAATTACGCCGATAAATAGACCAGGGGGCGGAGGAAAGTTGTTCCATCGGCGAGGAAGCGAACGGGCAAGTTTTCCAATTTTCTCCCGCGAAACCAGAGGAGTGGGGATGGACCGCGTGCATGTGGATCCGCACTCGCGACGAGGATATCATTGCGCGTCTGGAGATCGGTTTACACTCTCCCTCGTACATATATACATATACATATACATATNACACTGCTCTGTGTTTTGCCCAGCCGTCGAGTGAAACGAATAAGCGATAAATAACGCGGTCCCGTGGACGCCGGTAATGCTCGGCTAAACGTATATACGCATTACGCTGTCCCAGAAATAACGTATCTGGCAGATAATGCGGAACAGGAGACGGTAAATTCTGGTGACGTTTTACTCGAGAAC